GATAAGTGATGTGTATGTATGATGGCATGTATGTATGTGTATGTATGTATGTATGTATGTATGATGTATGTAGTAGCTTGTATGAATGTGCTGAATGCATGTATGTACGTTAGGATGAGTTTTAAAAAATCAAAAGTTTTCAAATTATAATGCAGAATCCCGCAGATTATGCGTATTGGTGAGAAAACATTACCTACTAGGAAAATTTCAGCCTCGTAACACCAGTAAAACGCCTTTTGGGGGCGACGAACGAGCGAGCGAGAGGGTGAGCCCTGCACGTGCGGAATTGGAAGGGCGTACTTCCAACTGACTTAAGCCCGGCACCCTACTAACCGGTCTTTAGCCATGTGCCAAATTTGAGCGCAATCGTCCCAGCCGTTCTCGAGATCTGGAAGCGGCACCCTGCACGTGCGCACGTGCAAAATGGGTCCCAACTGACTTTTGCACGGCGCCCCGCTAACCGGTCCCTAACCGTGTACCAAATTTAAGCACAATCGGTTCAGTCTTTTTTTAGATCTGGGAGCGACCCATGCACGTGCGCACGTGCAGCAGTACCCCAATCGTATTCGTGACACATGGGAATGCATTGCCTGGTGGGGCCCTACCTAGTACCTACAAGCCAAGTTTCAGCGCAATCGGCCCAGTAATTACATATTGCAATTGTTACAAAACTGATATTTCTTCGATTTGCACGTGGCACGTGCATAAGGGGTCACCCACATGCATCGGGAATAGTCCAATACTTGGAAGAAGGAATGAAGCTACCCTACAAAAATTACCGTAAAGTGGGGCTATTTGAGACAGTGGGGCTATTTGAGACAGTATTTAAAATCGCTACAAAATTAAGATCGTTTGATATTTTTGTGAAATTCTTCCTCAAGGTGGTGTGGAATCTAGCGGTGAATCGCCTGAGCACAAAATTAAGCATGAATATTAAACGGATTTCATTTTATAACGATTTCAAATACTGTCTCAAATAGCCCCACTGTCTCAAATAGCCCCACCTTACGGTACTGCAATTAAATCGACTCAGTAGTTGTGGAGATATAGAGGATTCTTCATGGCTCCGAGTGGAAGATAAGGATATCTTTTCCAAGCGGGTTACTGAAAAACCAAGCGACGAAGGAGCAAGGTTTTTCTGTAACACGCGAGGAAAAGATATCCTATCTTCCATGAGTGAGCCATGAGGAATCCTATATCTTCCTATGTTGAGGTTCATTCTTGATTAATAAAATATTATCTTTAAATGTATTCATCCATGTAAAAATAGATTCAGAGTAGTTTGTTCTTATTTCATAAGTTTAATCCACCAGTATAGCGCCTTTTGGGGCGACTAACGGAGCGAGCGAGGGGGTGAGTCTTGCACGTGCGAAATTTCGAGGGGGTACCTCCAACTGACTTGTGCACGGCACCCTACTGACCGGTTTCTAGCGATGTGCCAAATTTGAGCACAATCGGCCCAGCCGTTCTCGAGATCTGGGAGCGGCACCCAGCACGTGCGCACGTGCAAAATGGGTCCCAACTGACTTGTACACGGCACCCTACTAACTGGTCCCTAACTGTGTACCAAATTTGAGCGCCATCGGTCCAGCCGTTCTCGAGATCTGGAAACGACCCCTGCACGTGCGCACGTGCAGCAGCATCCCAACTCTGGCACATGGATATGCAGTGCCTAGTGGGTGCCTACCAACATACCAACTTTCAGCGCAATCGGCCAAGTAGTTACCGAGATATTGCAACAATTACAAAACTGACACCTCTTCGTTTTGCACGTGGCACGTGCATAAGGGGTCACCCACATGCATCGGGAATAGTCCAATACTTGGTAGAAGGAATGAAGCTACCCTACAAAAATTACCGCATGTAAATCGGTCAAGTGGTTGCTGAGATATAAGCCTCGCAAAAGCGTCCGCACGGCCGGCCGGCCGGCCGGCCGCTCATACTCAGAAATTTCCGTTATTCTACGTAAGACTCCGCTCGCTTCGCTCGCTCCGTAATAAACAACCATTAAAAATGTCGTTCGGTTATTAACCCATCATCACTTGAACTCTTGATTTTTCGCTATGAACCCTCGAGACCTTATCTTTGCATCTCAGAGGGATGCAGAGATAACAATTTCTTATCTCTGCATCTCAGAGGAGTGCGAGATAGAAATGTCCCTGCACTGTAGACCCAATGGCAATAAACCTCAACTAGAAAGATATTAGCTTCGCAAAAGAGTGACCACGCTCATACTCAGAAATTTACGCTATTCTACGGAAGACTTCGGTCGCTTCGCTCGCTCGAAATCACATCTTCATGTCACGCAGACGCTTGGGAGTTTGTCCGTATCGAAGGTGTCAGGCGTTGCAGTCTCCGAAGTCGGAGCGCAGCGGCGGGCCGGGGCGGTGCCTACTGCCCAACACCACGTGGCGTGGGAAACTGTCCTCCGTTCACTGTTCCAGCGAATAGACAATTTTGTTTGTTTATTGGAGCTTCAGTGTGCGCCGACTACACGTGAATAGACGGTGTTTTATGGCGAAGAACGCCGCATTTTCGCTATGTCCTCTCTATCTGAGAGTTTTTACCTCTATCCTATAGCCTCTAACCAATTCTGTACCTGACAGCGGTACAGTAAACACTGCCCATGTTCACAAATCACAACGAAAGTCGAGTACGGTGCGTCACTACGCATAGGTTAAATTGCATAATCTACGGAACATTATGCGCACCCTTTATACTTTTCCAAAAAAAGCTGCTATGGATTTGAACATGAAAAATAGAATAGAAAACATTAAAATATTGGGATGTTTTTTTTTACAAACTAGATTCATATTGGATTGGACTCAACATATCCCCCCCCCTCCTTGTAACTGATGTTATGGATATACGCCAGTCAGCCACGAGTGAGGCATCCATGGCTCCCACGTGTTGCCAAAAGACGTGGGGACATTTCTCCTGATTTACCTAAACTGAAAAATGCGGTTTTATCGGCTTCAAATTTCAGTGTTAATAATAACATCGGCAGTGTTGCCGTACTTGTAGCGCTAATAATGCAGCGTAAGTGTTTCGGGGCTAGGCGGCGAACCCGGGGTCCCCGGGCGTGGTTTCTCCTCTGTCGCTGCCTTCCCTTCTCTATTTCCTTACCCCCCCCTCCCCCTACACACAGTTTCTCACCAGTAGCGGCGACTGCGGTGTGCCGGGGGTCCCCGGCGCGCTGTTACCCCTCTGACGGACCCCCCTTACCCCCCTGTTTCTCACCAGTAGCGGCGACTGCGGTGTGCCGGGCGTCCCCGGCGCGCTGCTACCCCTCTGTCGGACCCCCCCCCCCCCACCCTACCCTACCCCCCTGTTCCTCACCAGTAGCGGTGACTGCGGTGTGCCGGGCGTCCCCGGCGCGCTGCTACCCCTCTGTCGGACCCCCCCCCCACCCCCACCCTACCCTACCCCCCTGTTTCTCACCAGTAGCGGCGACTGCGGTGTACTGGGCGTCCCCGGCGCGCTGTTACCCCTCTGTCGGACCCCCCCCCCCACCCCCACCCTACCCTACCCCCCTGTTTCTCACCAGTAGCGGCGACTGCGGTGTACTGGGCGTCCCCGGCGCGCTGTTACCCCTCTGTCGCTCCTGATGTGGCGAACACGGCGGAGCCAGAACCGGTGCACCTGAGCCGTCCGCCTCGGCCAGCACCTGGACGGAGAGAGGGAGAGAGAGAGAGAGAGAGAGAGAGAGAGAGAGAGAGAGAGAGAGAGAGAGAGAGAGAGAGAGAGAGAGAGAGAGAGAGAGAGAGAGAGAGAGAGAGAGAGAGAGAGAGAGAGAGAGAGAGAGAGAGAGGAGAGAGAGAGAGAGAGAGAGAGAGAGAGAGAGAGAGAGAGAGAGAGAGAGAGAGAGAGAGAGAAACGAGACTCAGCCTCTGACTGCAGGAGGTGTTGGAGTAGTGGAAATAGTGATGATGCTGATGAATTGGGTTTTTGGGCGCCCGGACTACAGTGGTTATCGACGCCCAGCAGTGGAAATACGGTCGTCGAAGAAGTAAAGAATCAGTGGAAGAAGGGCACGTCAAAAGGTTGTGGAGGTTGCTCCGCAGTGTTTTGCGGTCAATTAAGGAAAGTTACCGTAAATTGGAGAAATTATGGCGAACAACTACGGAAAAAAAGTTGAAAGGGAAACCAGTAACCACCAGCAGGCAACGCTCATCGTCAGACATAATATGTCTGTCCCTGAATGAATTTTGTTATAAGAACTAAGATACTTGCAAGACGTTTTTATACCAATTTTCATGTCACAGCCTGACAGACACATTTCGTGTCACTGTACCTGTACATAGAAGGGCTCCTGCAGCAGGAAGCCCATCTGCCGCCGCAGTCCGTCCTTATCTGGTCCAGAGTACTGCTGACAGGCCACCTGGGGGACGGGGGGGGGGGTCAGCGAGAGGGTATTATTGGTCAGTGTTTGGTAATGTGTCAGTCTCAATGGCTGAGCGTGTGGGAAGAAGATGCCGTCAACAGATGATTTTCAGGGAGACTTACAGAAGCAGGGTGTCGGAAGGAGCGGTGTCGCCATATGTTTTGTCAGGTGTACAGTCTGTCTTAAAAGTATCGCGCAAAGTACCGGTGGATCCTGACCGAGTAGGGGCCTGCTAAATTTGAGTCACCGAAGCAACTGACAGTTGACAACCTCGTCCATTCCCCAGGTCAATTGGTTGGGTGACTTTCAAATTATAGCAGGCCCTTCCTCGGTCAGGCTTGATGGATCCACCGTTACTTTGCGCGGTACTTTTAAGACAGACTGTACAGTTAAACATACAGTGCCAATGCACATACCACCAAAAACGTCCAGCATGCTACTCATGAACGCAGACCTCGGCGAAGTCTGGACCAGAAAAACCGCAGAGGCAAGCATCCATTTCGTGCAAATGCGATAACTTTCAATACGCGATAGCTTTGGAAACTCAGTCTCGGTCTCTATTAAGCTGAGCTGGTTATTTGACCTTATGTGACCTGGAGAAAAACAAAATTGCTAATTACCTATGCAAAATCAAGGCAGCATAACCTTGGCATAACCTATACCAAGTTTGAAAGTACTGCGTGTCGCGCCTTTCCTTACACACAAAAAAAAAAACTGGTGGCGTGGTAAAAAACGCCACACCCTTCTAAGCGATCGTAAAGGATTTTTTTTTCTCTTGACCGTATGGCACCCTCCATGGGTGGCTGACGCTCTCCTAGGCCTTGCTCCCCCTTCGCGATTTCTTTTTAACCCTCGCCCATGTAGGGGGGGGGGGTTGGTGCAACCCCCCCCCCTGAGGTTTTTCTTAGCTACACGCCGAACCGTTTCAGATAGCCTGCTCAAATTTTCAGTACCCTTTGGGGCATCCTTTGCGCAACTTTTGGTAATTTTTTTTTGTCAAGGTCATTTCAGGTCACGGAGTTATGACGTCATAAAGGGAACAACCTCCGGCCAGATTTACGCTAAATTGGAGATTGCTTCACATTGGTATAAATGCCGACCGACCTGACGCACTGATGGATTGTTTTATAATCACAACTGGCTGATTTGACATTGGCACAATGTCTGTTGACATTTTGAAGGTCACTAAAGGTCAAGGTAAGGTCAGTGACCTCGGTTGACCTGTAATGACTTCTTGCACTTGTATGCCTTTTCGGGGTATTTTGATGCCCTGAATTCGAATTTGCTATCCATTTCAGGCACCGTCGGTTGTTTCTTGTAGTTCATTTTGGGTCAGGGTCAGGTCAGTGACGTCACACGCCTGACGTGACCCAATGCACAAATGACCTTGCAGACTTCCGATGCTCCCAACGCATCATTTTTAGAGTTATGACGTCGAAATACACACCAAACGATAGAGAATTGATCAAGGATCACGATAGTGAAGGTTTCAAGTCGATATCTCTTACCGTTTTGCCGCAATTGGCGCGGAAATCTGATAGTTTGATTTTTCCGAAAATTTGACCTTTGACCGGTCATAAGTAGGTCAAATGTTGACCTAGGACCAAAAAATATACCACCAATCGCGAGATCTCGTTGAGAGCAATCCGTTGGTCTTTTCCGCTAAGCTCTACGACGCTTCGTTTTCAAACGCCAGGGGGGGGTCGCACCAACCCCCCCCCTGCATGGGCGAAGGTGGCAAAACACCGTTTACGGGCGAGGGTTAATACACCGCTGCATGGCATATAGCCAAAAGCTGGAAAAATGGCGCTAGAAACTATTGCTCACGACAAGCCCGTAACATGTTACAGCTTAAGGTGCTATCATAATCTAATACCTATTGTTGTGTCAAATTGGTTGATGAATGAGATCAAGGTACTGTGATTTATTTACCGTTATGCTATTTTTAACCCGCGCCCTGCTGGGGGTGGGGGGTGGGGGGTGCTGGTGAGGGTGTTTAAACACCCCTGCGGTTTATCGCAAATATCTCAAAAACGGCGGCGCGGAGCGCGGCCATTTTTGGCACACCTTATCATACATTAATTTTACACATGTTGTGAAAACTTCAGACCAAGGTTGTTCATGGTCAGGTCACCAGGTCACTTCAAGTGCCCTCACCGCATAAAAAGTTTCAATGTCTGCCATAGCTACACCGAATGGCCGAACGCTTTCAAACTTTCAGCTTTTGATAAGAGCAACAGCATGTACAAATAACAAAATGTATATCTCGGAATTCTGACACCGGTGACCTAAGGTCGGATCAATTTTGCGACCTCCCCGTTATAAGTAAATGGAGAAAATTGAAGGGCGCCTCTTTTGGACGCAAGTCATTCTCACTCTCAAACGCTGAATTACAAGTAACTTTGACACACTGAACATGAAAATGGCACCCGTGACCCCTGTTTATGCCCCTGAGGTCATAGCAGGCCACGTGATATCTAACAGTGATTCGCGAAAAACTTTTGATAGAGGCATGCTAGAGCGATGAAAACGCCTTAGATGTGTTCAGCTAGACGATACGGATCGACTGATATGTAACATGACCCTTTCCGGTCAGCTCATGACCTTGACCTGAGGTTAAAGTTTCTAGTTGACCATTCAAGGTCAAATTATAGTTCATTCGATGCGTCTTAACGAGAGGAACACGATGCCGGTAAAAGTAAGCTGGTGCAAGGCTTGAGTCCAAAAGTTATTGCAGAAAATTTCCAGCAACAATCGTCATTTTGGCAGTTTCTGTGTCACCTGCATGCAAAACCGTTGACGTTGGGTCAAATCTGAGAGAAATACTAAAAAAAGCATAAATAGGGTTATCAAACGCGCTTGTCCGCGGCGCTGTATCTCTATTAGTTCCCGAGGTATGCGTCGGCGAAAATTGTCGATATTCGACCTGAAAATCGGCGAAATGTGGCCTTCAATGACCTCTGGCGAAAAGGTCCAAAAAAGTGACCGAAGTTAAATTTCCATTATTTCTGACGCTCTTTCGAAGGCCGCCTTCCGCGTATCGCTACGTGGCCCAGGAGCCGAGTTAGAATGGGGATGTTCATTGTTCAATACCCCCCCCCCCCCCAGCAGGGCGTGGAAATCCAGGACCCCCAGTGCAGTGTCCCAAAACTCGCCAGTTTGGGTGGGAAGTGACATCCAAATCAAAATAATATTCCACTCTCACCTCCAATTTCTAAGATAAATTTTTCACTCCCTATTTTACCAATAAAGAGCATCTGCGTGTGTCTGCACGTATCTTTTATTTCCCTCTATATTCGATTTAATTATCTTATAAGGATACAGATACAGATACAGATGTGTATTCATCTAGGATCCACAATAAAAGTGGCTTTTCACCAGACACGTAAAACCAGATAAAACGGGGAACATATAGACAGTACGAGTAGGCATAGATATCACTGGCAAACACAAACAAGCGTGCGACTGGAACAGGTTCAGACAGCTACTCGGCGTCTCGACATGATCACACGCTTCACATTGGCGCGAAACGCTGGTATATACGGGCTCAACTCGGCACCGTTTAACATCGCGACTCCTCTAATACATAGTCGACGTCTCCCCGTCTCTGTTCGGGCCCGTGGCTGTGTTATCAGCCCTGCGTTTCGGGTGTTGTGGTCGTGTATGTCGCGGGCTACAGGACCTATGGTATCACTGATATGTTCAGGAGTACCCGATGTGATGGCTCGGTGGACTGCGCAGATAGTGTGGTACTCGGCTAATTCGTCTGCCCGTAGCCAGCCGAGCTGCTGTATGACGTCAGAGATGTGGTCGCTGCGTCTACGGCCACTGACGACTCTGGCACAGAAATTGAGAATTTTCTGGACACGAGCCATCTGGGTCACACCGCACGACCCATACACGCTTATACAATACCGCACGATCGATATGACTAGGGCTTGAACAACTACCTTACGTGTGTTTGCTGGCATCACGTGGCGGGCATGACTGAGAGCGATTAAAATTCCTGTGCATTTTGATGCCATGGCGGTGATGTGAGCTTGATAGTTCAGATGGCGGTCGAGATAAAGTCCGAGGTTCTTCACCGTCCCTGCATCGACTACAGTTGAACCACAAAAGTTGACAGTGACGGGCGGGAGTCCACGCAACATTGCTGGTGTGCCCAACACCAGCATCTGTGTTTTGGCGGCGTTAACTTTCATGCCATTGTGGCAAAACCATCGGTAGGCGGCGTCGAGTGCGGCCTCAGTGCGTGAAATGATACAATCCAAATCCCGTTTCTTTCCAGTGACCAAAATTTGAGTGTCATCTGCAAACTGTACTATGGTGACTCCGTCGGGCATGTGCAGACTGAGATCGTTAGCAAAAAGCATGTACAAGGCACAACTGAGACTACCTCCCTGGAAAACACCAATGGTGTTTTCTCTCGGTCGGGAGGTGATACTGGAGCCGTCAGCGGCGCGGACTCTGACCTGTTGCACATGCCCAGCCAAATAGTTAGCGAACCAGTCGGTGTCGATACCGTATAGGCTAAGTTTTTGCAGGAGTTTTTGGTGAGACACGACATCAAAACATTTTGAAAGATCCAGTAAGACCAAAATTGAAATTTCACCGTTGTCCATGGACTGAAGAATGCGGTCAGTAATGACGTTGAGGGCCGTCTCAGTGGAGTACAGTCTCCTGTACCCGTGTTGTTCGGCTACCAGCAGAGAATGCTCGGATAGGTAGTCGATCAGCTGGGTTTGAACTATGCGCTCAACTATTTTCATTATGCCTGGTAAAATGGAAATAGGGCGCGTGTCTGCTGGCGTGTTCCCTGCTTTGCCTTTCGGTATTGGTGTCACTATCGCGTGCTTCCATCCAGGTGGAATGAGACCAGTCGATAAACTGGAGTTCACGATGTCGAGAATAGCATGGCCAATGCCGGGAAAAAACGTCTGCAACATGCTAACACTAACACCGTCAACTCCGGTGGCCGTTGACGGTTTCATACTCAA